CTTCCCAGAATTCTCCTCTCTCCTTGCCCCACCTACTTCCTGCCTGGCCACTGGCCAACCAGTGTTTTATTTATTGACCAATCAGAGCAATTTGACATACAGACTGTCCCACAGCAGTGAGCTGTCATTTTCATCAGCCAAAAATTAGCTGAAGGATTATCCATAGTAATAAAAGGGTGTTCACATGCACCGACCCACCTTTCTGTTTCCTAATTCATCTAATCCCAGTGGACTCTATTGATCATATTTTCAAGCCCCACCCATTTATCTCCTTATCCCTTCTCTTCTGGTAGCTTTGCCTTGACACAGGAGAAATCAGGATATGTAACAGAAAGAAGCTAGGAGGCAGAGCATGGCTGACACAAGATGGCACATTAGAAAAAAAAAAAAAGGCTCAGCCTCTAAGGAAACAAGTGCACGTCTCCTCTCACAGGAGCTCACGGTTTAGGGACCGAGAGAGGAGATCCGCGTGAGTCTCCCTCGAGTGTTAGTGCTAACTAACCATGTTAGTGCAACTGCCAGCATGTTGTCTGTGCTAAGTTCTGGCTCAGCGTTAGAATCTCAGCATCCTTTTCTCTCCTGATATCTTCTTCCCTTAAGTCCCCCGGTCCCTTAACTGTAGAGGAATAGTTCCATCCAACCACTCCATCATCTAGCTCAAGTCTGTTATCACCCGGTACCAACTCTTAGCATCTCTACAGGAGAGCCTACGGGGCCTAAGTGTTGATTGCTCTAGTTTGCTTATAGTTTGGCCAAGGTATGTGCACCATTGGCCATCTGCCTTTGGAGTGGCTGAAATTCATTTGGCTCCTTAAACTTTTCAATCTGGGATAATTTTCCCAGTAAGCATGTGAGCTCAGAAGTAAGCACCATTTTTCTCTGAAGCATACCTGTAAGAGCTAATTCACCATGGAGCCAGGAATAAGGAGGGGGCCCTTTATGTTTAAAAGCCTTATTCATTTCAGCATAACACACCAAGTTACAATACCTTCATTTGGAATGAGACAAAATGGGTCTCCTGAATTCAGGTCACCAAGTTTTCTCAAGCTCAGATTTCAGGTGTATCTATTTCTACAATTTCTGCAAGTCACTCATCCACACATAAATGATATTCAAGAATTCTGTCATTGGCATATATAAAACAATACATTAATGTGAACTGGAATAATTCCCTCCAAGGAAAAGGCCCATATCATTTCAATCTCAGAAAAGTTTTTACATGTTTATTAATTGATGAAGAAAATATGGGAACTAATACTGCATAACCCCTTTAGAAAGTTCTTCCACTGCTTTGAGTTGTGTCCCTTTGCTTGAGATTAACGTGTGCTGCTACAGCACCAGCTTTGAAGGCTGATTTCTAACTACACCAGCTGAGAAAAATTGAGTGCAAAGTGAAAAGTCCACTGTAGCTAGAGTTTTCCTGCCTTGCCCACAGTTAGGACAAATCTCTGTCACCCGCCAGTCCCACAGCCGCTCAGACCCAACCAAGTAAACACAGAGACTTATATTGCTTACAAACTGTATGGCCGTGGCAGGCTTCTTACTAACTGTTCTTATAGCTTAAATTAATCCATTTCCATAAATCTATACGTTGCCACGTGGCTTGTGGCTTACCGGTGTCTTCACATGCAGCTTGTCATGGTGGTGGCTGGCAGTTTCTCTCTGCCTCAGCCTTCCGCTTCCCAGAATTCTTCTCCTCCTTGTCCCGCCTATACTTCCTCCTGCCTGGCCACTGGCCAATCAGTGTTTTATTTATTGACCAATCAAAGCAACAGATTTGACATACAGACCATCCCACAGCAGTCCACCATTATGGCACAGAATTTAATTCCTTGTCTCTCAAGTAAGCTACAGGCAATAAGAAGGACCAGAAGGGGAAAAAGTGATGGATTCACAGCCTGACTAGAAGAGAAGCCAAGAGAGCTGTGGTCAGATAATGAACTGGCAGCACTCTGTATATCAAGGATATATTGTTTATGTCACTAAAGTGTATGAAACTATGGCATAAAGTTATTCTAGCAAATGCCACATCTTGTGGGGGAAGTGGTTCTTTTGTGACTAGATGTTTAATCTCTTTTTAAGTGTCTTGACTAAGTTCTTTCCAAAATTCTTAAATATATTGAAGTTTACTTACCATACTTTTCAAATATTACACTATAGCTGATATACCTGATACATATTCCAAAGTGGAAAATCTGTACTTAGTCTCTTTTTTCTGTTTGTTTATTTTGTTTCTTAGACAGAGTCTTACCCAGTAACCAGGACAGGTTAAGAACTAGGCTAGCCTCCAGCTTCTTATCCCCTGCTTCCATTTCCAGACATCTAGGATTACGGCCATGCACCACAATTCTGGGTTTTAAGGTCTTAAGGAACAAAATATATATGGACTCATGACAGAAAAATTATTATCATGTCTTAGACGTTAGAGGATTTATTAATTTTCAAAATTGACCTATGTTTCAATTAATCATCATACATGTAGATATTAAGCTAAGCAAAGATATTTTTCACAGGAGGTTTTGTCAAATTTTCCAACAAAAACCAAGATATTGAATGAAGTCTGGTAGGGATTTGATATAAATAAACACATTACAGGCAAATATTAGTTAAAATCCCAGTTCTCTCTCACACAATTGAAAACTTTGGATAAATTTAGTTTTTATATAAACTTAGATTTTATATGTATAAAATTGTGGTAATCAAAATACAATGTAGAAAGAAACCAGAGCAGTGATTGGAATGATAGATGCTAAACCAAGATGGCCATTTGAGAATAGTCAACATTACCTAAAGAGCAAGTGCATCCCATATTTGCTGTTGAAGTTCAATGCCAAATCTCTGAAAAGAAAATCATAGACCTAAGTTTCTACTCGTGCTTACAGAGAATTAATTTCACTGTTTCCGGCCAGTACATTGATTAATATCCATGACATTTGACACAATCACTTTTACAGAACATAATATAACATACCCAACATTCCCTTTACTCAATGATTAACACTTGCTTGGCTTTTATCACTTTAAGGATTTTAAATTTATTTCCTGAATCTAGGAGATGCCAAGGTGTTTTAACTTTTCAGGAAGAAAAAAAAAAATGGTTTTAAAGGAAAATCTGTAATTAATGACAGATTTCCAATTTTCCACTTTTATTTTCAATTAGGCCTCAGAAGTCTCTAGAAACAGAGGAGCCTCTTTGCTGGCCAGGCCAGGACACAGCCTAATAGCTGCTATCCGAAGCCAACATCAACATGAATCATTGCCACTGGGTATGTATCCTCCGTCAGTGAGCCTCTAGCAACCCAATACAAAGGTCCCTACCGTGAACCTTTTTAACAGTCCTGCACTTTCTTTCTCTCTCTTTTTTTTTCTTTTGAGACATGTTTTTACTGTGTACATTTAGCTATCCTGGCATTTACTATGTAGACTAGGCTGTCCTAAGACAAACAAGATTTGCCTGACAATCCAGTGCATCAGCATGCCTAGCCTCTCCTCTTTCATGACACTTCCCAACTTATGACTCTCTTTCTCCTCATCTCCATCAGTCCTCTCTTCTAGATCTGCATGCCCCTTCTTCTTCATTTTATTCAAAGTCAATTAAACCCAGAAATACAGGATTTAAGTGAAACAATTGTTTCATTTTCTTGTTGCTATAAGTAGTTTTGCTTTGTTTTGCTTGTTTGTTTACTGCTATTATACTAAGGATTGAATGTAGAAGATTATATATGCTAAGCAAATACTCTACCATTAAGCTATATCTTCATATTTTAATTTTTTGTGGCATAGCCTCACTAAGCTGCTACAGCTGGACTTCCTCTATAGCCCAGGCAGGCATTGAATCATCATGATCTCCCTATCTTTGATGTCAGCATAGACCTTTGCCACTACACCCAGCCTCATGGAGGTGTTGATTTTTAATATAGTGATTTAATTTATCTTTAAGAAGTTTATACATGTATACAACATGTTTTGAACATCATCTACCTACCAGTCTCTGCTCCAACTCCTCTCAATCCCTCCTCATGTTTAACCCTCTGTGTCCAATTAGTGCTACCTGTATACACATGGATATGGGTTCATCAGCTGGGGAATATGCAACCTACCAGAGGATACACTACTGAAAATTTGACTCTCCCTCTCCTACCAGCCATCAACTGCTAATAGCTCTTCAGTTAGGGATGGGGCCTCATGAGCCCCTCCCCATACATGCTGGAATGTTGACTGGCTTGATTTTATTGGGGTCTTGTGTAGGCAACTACAGCTTCTGTGAGTTTGTAAGTCCTATGGCCCTATCATATCCAGAAGACATTGTTTTGTCCTGTCTTCTCCAATGTCCTGACTCTTAGAATCTTTCTGCCCCATTTTCTGAGATGTATTATGATCCTTGAGTGGAGGGAGTGTGTTACAAATATCACACTTATGGCCGAGTTCTCCACAGTTGCCTCTTCTCTGCATCTCGAGCAGTTATGAGTCTCTGCACTAACCACCATCCACAGCAAAATAGAAGCTTCTCTGATGAGGAGTGGGAGCTGCACTCCTCTCTGAGTATAAAGAGAAATATTAGTTGCTGGGTGGTAGCACACACCTTTAATCCCAGCACTCAGGAGGCAGAGGCAGGCGGATCTCTGGGAGTTCGAGGCCAGCCTAGTCTACAGAGCGAGATCCAGGACAGGCTCCAAAACTATACAGAGAAACTCTGTCAAAAGAAAGAAAGAAAGAAAGAAAGAAAGAAAGAAAGAAAGAAAGAAAGAAAGAAAGAAAGAAAGAAAGAAAGAAAGAAAGAAGG